CCCCCCCCCCCCTTAGACTACCCATATATCTGTGTGAAGAGGATGGCATTTAAATTAATGGTCCTCTTTGGTGGCTGTCAAAATGTGTGCGATTCCAAATAAACCTTTAGAATCCACTGGCTCCAAGCCTAGGCTTTTGTGCTGAGAGGAGTTTTTGGCTGTATCTTTTTTTTGCCAGTCCATTAATGGAATAAATCTCAACAATACAGATTCTTTCTTTGGGCTTGCTTTCCGACACAGAAACTGAAAATTTGCTTTCTAACTAGTAACAAGGCATTTTTTTTATTATTGTTGTTGATTTACTTTATTTCTTTCGATGTGTAGCCTGAAGCAAGGTAGATTTAGGTAGAGACTTGAAGCCTTGCCCCTGATGTCTAATAATTCTCCTGGCTCTTATGAAGTTTTATAATATACTAAATGACTTGCCATTTTTCAGAATGTTGATAATGAACCAAATGTTAGTGATGAAAGCAGATTTAGATATTTTTGTTATATTAATTTTGGTCATGATGGCCCATATATTAATTAGTTTCTTGGCTGAAACCAGATGTTTTATTTAACAAAAACAGGCCATCTTTTAGTAGCTAAAAAAAAGAGAAAGAAACAAAAAACAAACACATCTAGACTTGCATATAAACTTTTTCCACTTATTACAAAATGAAACAAAACAAAAAAATGACTGAAATTCTTCAGGTCAGCAAAATGGCTTACCTGGCTACCTTTTCTAGGTGGATAGGCCTGCAGCTTCTTGCATTTCTAGTAAGAGGAACTGAATGGGGAAAATCTGTTAAGAGCTGGTAAGAAACGAAGTATGCCACATGTCAGGAGGCTGGAACCTATGGAGAAGAAGCCACTAAGACATTCCAGTGGTAAAGTAGCTAAGAGAAATTTTAGAAAAGGAGATTTTTTTTCTTTTTATTTCTTGCAGATTTAGCACAGAGGTCTTCTGTCACCTCAAATTTCAAGTAAAGACCACAACACATTTCCTCCTAAAGAGGATGACTGAGTACATGCATGTTCATTTCCTCTTTCTAAAGGTCCCACCTTTTTAAAACTTGAAAGCATAGTAGTTCCAGAAAGTGGGAAAGACCACCAGTAGCATAATGTGGCATGTGGAAGAATTCCTAGAAGATAGAATGAGAGTGGGAAGGAGATGACAGAAAAACTGCTGGGGAAACTGCTGTGCAAGTGGGTCCCTGAGGGAGCCTCAGCAATGCTCTTAGCTGGAACCCACAGGTATAGAAAGCCACAGTGGGTGGTGGG